CCCCCTGAGCCACCAATTTTTTAATTATGTTCTTTCCATGTCCCAGAACATCTGCCTAACCTTTAGCTTCCACCATGAATCACTATAGAACAGTGGTTCTCAACTGGGAGGGGGGGTGGCTCATTTTCTAAGAGATATCTAGCAATAGATGGAGACATTCTTGGTTGTCACAATTGTAGGGGACTTGGGGGGGCACTGCTATGGCATTGAGTGTATAGAGGCCAGGGATGCTGCTAAACATCCTACAAAGCATAGGACAGGACCCACAACAAGAATTATCCAGCCCCAAACGTCAGGAGTGTCAAGGTGGAGAAATCTTGATATACAGCCACACTGCTGGTCATCCTCTTTCTAGGCCAAGTGGATAACCAGCTGTCCACTTCTCCATCTGGACCCCTACCAATGGGCTATAATGATACAGCATTCTATGTCCAGTTGGTACCAGCTTATGATCCACACCATCTGTAAGCCCGGCTTAAACTTTTTATTCTTCAGCTAGTTGGTCCTAGAGAACTACCCATGAGGTCAAATACATAGTAAGCTGGAGACTTGACTGCAAAGCAGAAGTGGGACCCTGCCGGGCAGGAACAGTTAACTTCAAGAAATTATAGGGACATGTGAAATGAATGGCAGCAATGTAACAAGGGAATGTTACAAGCAGAAACTGGGAATACTTTGTTACAAAGTATCTATAGTGTCATTTGAAAGCGGCTTAGATGAATTATAAACATATATTGCAAACTTTAGGGCAACAAATTTAAAAAATTATTTTTTTAGGGCGCCTGGGTGGCTCAGTCGTTAAGTGTCTGCCTTCAGCTCACATCATGATCCCAGGGTCCTGGGATCGAGCCCTGCGGGAGGCCTTCTTCTCCCTCTCCCACTCCCCCTGCTTGTGTTCCCTCTCTGTGTCTCTCTCTGTCAAATAAATAAAATCTTAAAAAAAAAAAATTCTCTCTCGCCCTCTCCCTCTGCCCCTCCCCACTCCCTCTCTTAAAAAAAAAAAAAAAGGAGGCAAAAACTTGGTAAAACTGAAAGGAGAAATAGACAAATGCACTGCTTGTGGGAGACTTCAACACCTTTTTATCAGTAACTGCCAGATCAAGCAGGCAGAAAATCAGTATTGATGTAGTTGAACAAAACAGTACCATTAATCAACTGGATTTAATTATAGAATACTTCTATAGATTATAGAATATTGCACCCAAGAGCAGCAGGATACATGTTCTTCTCAAGTGCAGGGGAACATTCACCAAGAAAGACCACATTTGGGGCCATAAAACACACCTTAACAAATTTAAAAGAATAGAAATCTGTTCTTCAACCACAGTGGAATTAAACTAGAAATCAATGACAGAAAGATTGCTGGAAAATTCTCAAATATTTGGAGATTAACTAACACCCTTTAAATAACACATGGATCAAAGAAGTTTCAAGAGAAAATTTAAAGTATCTTGAATTAAATGAAAATAAAATATAACTTGTCAAAATCTGTGGGATTCAATGAAAGTTCTACTTAGAGCGAGGTTTATGGTATTGAATGCATATTTTAGAAAAGAAGATAGCTCTAAAACCAATAATCTAAGCTCCTGCTTTACAAAACTAGAGAAGGAAGGGGAATATAAGCCTAACGCAAGCAAAGGGGAAAAAATAACAAAAATTAGAGTAGAACTCAATGAAATTGAAAGCAGGAAATCAACAGAGAACATCAATGAAACCAAAAGCTGATTTTATGAAAATATCAGTAAAAATTGATAAGCCTCTAGCCAGACTAAGAAAAAAAGAGAGAAGACACAAATTACTAATACCAGAAATAAAAGAGGGGTCATCACTACTGATGCCATAGTCATTAAAGGGATAATAAAGAAATATTACAAACAACTCTATGTCCACAATCTGGTAACTTAAATGACATGGACCAATTCCTTGAATGATATAAAGTAAGAAAACTTACACACAAAAAAAATAGATTATCTGAATAAACCTATATCTATTAAAGAATTTGAATCAATAATAAGTATATAAAATATAAGTTACTATTATATATTATTAATATATAACATAATTATAACAATAAACATGTGAGATGATGGATGTGTTAATTAACTGGATGGGAGGAACCCGATGTATCAAATCATCATGATGTACAATTTAGCAATAATACCGTGATAAATCTGAAAGAGATAAAAATCTATTTAAAAATGAACAACAATAAAAAATAATTAATAACCCTCCAAAAAGGAAAACATTGGGCCAGTTGGTTCCCCTGGTGAATTCTAGTGGTGAAAACCCATTTAAGAAAGAACAATAAAAATTCTCTATAATCTCTTCCAGAAAATAGAAGCAGAGGTAATACTTTCAAACTCGTTCTATGAGGTCAGCGTCACCCTAGAGCCAAAACCAGATAAAGACATTAGAAGAAAAGAAAGCTACAGATCAATACTGCTCATGAACACAGGTGTAAAAATCCTCAACAAAATATCAGGAAATTGAATTCAATGTACATCAGTTTAGGCTACTGATTTAAAAGAATAAACAATGTTACCAATGTTTCAGTGACTTTTAAAAACAGTAAGTGAATTATATATATCTGTAGTGGAATATATCTTAAGGAAAAAGGAAACTATAAAAATAAATGCTTAAAATGTGTTTGTTCATTATTGTTAGTTGTGGTGTTGTTATTTTTCTTCTGAGACTGTTGTGTATATAGTAGGGAACCAAGTGGATGAGAACTGGCATTTTTCAGTGCAAGAGAAAAAAAGGATACAAATGTACAAGCAATGAGGCTAGTAAAGCCCTGTCCTCCTAGAAGTAACAGTAGGATCTCATGATGGGTATTTTCCCTTTAAAAGAGAAATCTACATATTTCCTAGCTTTGTCCACTGAAAACATCTAGAAACTGAGAACATCCACTAAAAACATCTAGAAACAATCTAGTGGCAATGAGCACATCTAGTTTCACATTGGTTTAGTAAATACAATTTCCTAGTAAGAAAACCAGGGATCCTTGGAGAAATGGACGATTCAAGTCTGGGGCAGAAAAAAAAAGATAAAAATGTAAAAGCAATGAGGTACTAGATGAGCCAGGAACGTCTTGTGATTCTGGAAAACAAACAAAAAAACTATAAAAGACTAAAAAAAAAGGTAACATAAAAGACTCACGAGCTAACTTGAAGAGGCTTTCATTGGCAGGATGGGACAATGTGGGGATTGATAAGAATAATAACCACAGGGCGCCTGGGCAGCTCAGTCGGTTAAGCGCCCGACTCTTGGTTTTGGCTCAGGTCCTGATCTCAGGGTTGTGAGATCCGGCCCTGCATATGGCTCCATGCTCAGAGTAGTCTGCTTAAGACTCTCTCCCTTGGGGTGCCTGGGTGGCTCAGTTGGTTGAGCATCTGCCTTTGGCTCTGGTCATGATCCCAGGGTTCTGGGATCAAGTCCCACACTGGGCTCTCTGCCCAGTGGGAAGTCAGCTTCTCCCCTGCCTGCTGCTCCCCCTGCTTGTGTTTGCTCCCTCCCTCCTTCTTCTCTCTCTCTCTCTGTGTCAAATAAACAAATAAAATCTTTAAAAAAAAAAAAAAGACCCTCTCCCTCTGCCTCTCCCCTTCTCTCTAGAATAAATAAATAAATCTTTTTTAAAAAGAATAATAACCACAATTAGCTAAATTATATCAAAATGTTAAAAATCTACCATTTAATAATAATTTTTTAAAAGGGTCATAGTTGGAGCATGCCAAGGAAACAACTTATTATTTTAAAAACGGAAATAAAAGGAAAGCATCAAGCAATTATTTTGCTTTTCTTAAACTCACTGTACCAAGGGGCAACCAGATAGTTGATGAGGGGGAGTTGTCTTTATAGAAGTATTATAGAGAGTGAAAGAAGAATGGTGGACTTAGGGGGGCCTGGGTGGCTCAGATGGTTACCCGTCTGCCTTTGGCTCAGGTCCTGATCTCCAGGTCCTGGAATCGAGTCCCACGTCGGGCTCTCAGCTCAGTGGGGAGTCTGCTTCTCCCTTTCCCTCTGTCTCTCCCCCTGCTTGTTCTCTCTCTCTCTCTCAAATGAATAAATAAAAAATCTTAAAAAAAAAAAAAAGAATGGTGGACTTAGAATATCAGCTTTTTGTAACCCCTAATGAATGAAAGGATCTAGGTAGTGATCATCTATGACAGCCATCCTCACAAAAAAGAGACATGAGGTTATCCCCTGACAGAAAAAGATGCCACCCCCTTGAAATAATCTTGCCTCCTCCCCCCAGAGAATCTGATGACACTTCTAGATCTTACTACTAATTTGCAGGAAATATAGGACAGATGACCATGACCCTAGGAACACAATCAGTAGAATCCAGACTGTGGGAAAGTTGCAAAACCAAAAATATAAAAATAAAATCTAACATCTAGTCCTGAGTTAAAAAACAGTTAGTAGGGGCACCTGGGTGGCTCAGTCGTTAAGCATCTGCCTTCGGCTCGGGTCGTGATCCCAGGGTCCTGGGATCAAGCCCCGCATCGAGCCCCGCATCGGGCTCCGCAGGAAGCCTGCTTCTCCCTCTCCCACTCCCCCTGCTTGTGTTCCCTCTCTCACTGTCTCTCTCTCTGTCAAATAAATAAATAAAATCTATAAAAACCCAACAACAGCCAGTTAGTAGTATAGCTTTAACCAGACATGTGTAACAAATTGAAAGGCAGCTTCATGATTATTGGTGAAATAGCAAAGCATTCCCATGAAAATTTCAGGAAAAAGAAAATGATGTCCACTGATATTAGTAACATGTGAGATTGTTCTGAAAGTGCTAGAAAATGCTACAAATTACACAATGCAATGAAGAGGCAAAGTTATCATTGTTTGGAAGTGGAAGGACTTAATTCTGGAAGACCCAAGAAAATAAACTGAAAACTCTTGGAAATAATAGAAGAATTCAGTATCTATCTGGTTTAAGAACTAATGTGTGAGAGGGCGCCTGGGTGGCTCAGTTGGTTAAGCGACTGCCTTCGGCTCAGGTCATGATCCTGGAGTCCCTGGATCAAGTCCCGCATCGGGCTCCCTGCTCGGCGGGGAGTCTGCTTCTCCCTCTAACCCTCCCCCCTCTCATGCTCTCTCTATCTCATTCTCTCTCTCAAAAAAAAAAAAAAAAAAAAAAAAAAATCTTTAAAAAAAAAAAAAAAAAGAACTAATGTGTGAGAATCAACAGCTTCCCTGAAAACTGTGTCTGCAGACCAAATCCAGCTCACTTCTTGTTTTTGCAAATGAAGTTTTTCTGGAAGACAGCCATGCTTATTTATTTGCATATTGTTTATAGCTGTTTTTATGCTACAATGACAAAGCTGAGTAACTGTGACAGAGATCATATGTGAGATTTGCCAACCTCTGCTTTAGATAAAAAATAGTTAAAAAGAAAATGGAAAATGGGGCACCTGGGTGGCCCTGTTGATTAAGCCACTGACTCTTGATGTTGGCTCAGGTCACGATCTAAGGGTTATGAGATCAAGCCAGGCATCAGTTTCTGTGCTCAGCTCGGGGTCTGCTTGTCCCTCTCCCTCTGCTCCTCCCGTTGCTCTCTCTCTCTCATAAATAAATAAAATCTTTTTTTAAAAAGTCTCTTTCTCCCTCTCCCTCTGCCCCTCCCCACTCCTTCGTCTCTAAAAAAAATAATAATAAAATGGAAAAAATCGAATTTATAACAGAAACAAAAGCTATCTAGGAATAAACTTAAAAAATATGTAATAACTATCATATACCAAGAAAACGTCACAATTGCACAGACATAAAAGAAGATGTGAAGAAATGGTATTATGTATCTTTTTCTTGATAGAAACTAAATAAAGCAAGACTCTTTGATCTGTTAATACCCTCCAGCCAAAGACTACCAGGAATACATCTATAGTTGGACAAATGGGTTTATTATTACTCTTACACTGTTGGGCATCTCAGTTAGAGGGTGTTTAGGAAGGGTTTATAGGATTTGGGCTTGTGCTAGGGGATTTGGGGGAGGGTTTAAGAAAGCCATAGTTCTGAGGCGCCTGGGTGGCTCAGTCGTTAAGCGTCTGCTTTCAGCTCAGCTCATGATCCCAGTCCTGGGATAGAGCCCCGCATTGGGCTCCTGCTTGGTGGGAAGCCTGCTTCTCCCTCTCCCATTCCCCCTGCTTATGTTCCCTCTCTCACTGTCTCTCTCTGCCAAATAAATAAATAAAAAGAAAAAGAAAAGAAAAGAAAAAAAGAAAAGAAAGCCATAGTTTTTCTCTGGATTGGATACTGCCAGGAAGTGAGAGTATTTCTAGGATGGGATATGTTAACAAATTTTACCTAGACAAAAGCTAAAGCTGTAATTGGTAAATGTCACTTATATTACCCAAGAAGGAGAGATGTTTCATCATTTTTGTGGTTTGGACAATGTTCCTGTCTTTGTTGGTGTTCACATGATTATAGAGTGATCTTGTTTTTGTCTTGATCCTGCACGTCACAGAGTGACTTCCTCTGATGTTGATGTTCTGTGAAATTGTTCATGTTTAACAGAACACCACGCACGGCATCTGGATGTCTGGAGGTGTGTTTCACTTTCTCAAATCTATAAATTAAGTGCAATTGTAATCTTAATTGCCAGTTTTGTATGTGTTTGTTTTATGAAAGAACTTGAGAAAACATATCTAACTTGGGTATCTGAACAAATAAACATTAGAGAGGACTTAAGAAACCAAAAAAGAAAACGTACTGCGAAAACAAAAAAGACATAAGAAGAAAAGATTGATAAATCTACTACAAAGAAATAAAAGTCACGGTTTGGAAAACAAGACACAAACTCAGATAAAATATCAACTCATTTGAGGAAGGGCTGATGACCCCGTAAAACAAACAAGCAACTCTCCCTACGAATAACATAAAAAGAGTACTTTTCGGAATAGTTTTAATTTTTTACAATAAGAACGTACCACCGAAAAACATTTTCAAGAAAAAAAGACTGGGACTTGAACACAGAGAGGCGGGGCTCACAGAGGCTCAGAGGAGCCTCAGGGAAGGACTACGCCTCCCAGGAGCCTCTGCGCTGATCGTCCCCGGCCTCCCGACAGGCTCCGCGCGTTTTCCGCGCCAGCTTTGGCCTTAGCCAGCAAGCGGCGAAGGATGGAAAGAAGCGACGAGGCGGCGGTCGAGAAGTGCCGCATCCACTTGCGCCCCGGCACGCTGCGCGACGCCGCCCACGCCACGCTGCACCTTCTGCCCTGCGAGGTCCTGGTTAATGGACCCGCCCCGGTGGAGCGCTTCTTCACCCCTGCCATCCGCCAGGGTCCAGATGGTGAGTGCTCAGCGCCGGACTACGACTCCCGGCAGTCCCCGCGCCCACGCCGCGGTCTCCTCGGCGAGGAGCGGCGCGAGGGCTCCTGGGGATGGTGGTCCACCGGAGGTGGGGGGAGGGCTCCAAGGGGCTTGCCCCGCAAGGCCGGAATCAGGCCCTCACCGAGACACTGCGCCCGCCTCCTACAGGACTCGAAGTGTCGTTTCGGGGCCGCAGACTACGGGGCGAGGAGGTGGTGCTGCCGCCCGGCCTTGAGGGATACGTGATGGTGATGGAAGAGAAGGGAGAGGTGTTGCTGGGGAAGGACTTCTCGGAGGGTTCGTCGAAACTGCGAGAGCAGCAGGGGCTGGCGGTACCCCCAGAGGCGCTGGAGCGGGACTTCGTGAGCACAGGGGGTCAGGGCTGGAGGGGGGGGTGCGGGCGGCCGCAGTGTCCCGATGTTGAGCCGGGCCCCTTCCTCAGGACCAATTTATCAGAGCCACCGCCAGTTTCAGCCGCTTCACGCTGTGGGGCCTGGAGACCATCCCCGGTCCGGATGCCAAAGTGCGCGGGGCGCTCACCTGGCCCAGTCTGGCTGCAGCGGTGAGTAGGTGGATGGGCCTCACCTTTCCAGGCCCCATCCATTACCCTGTGACTTCACGGTTATTCCCTGGGTTGTCCAGAATCTTGCCCGAGTGGATTCGGGGCTTCGGGGCTGGGGAGTACGATGGGGCAGATGGAGCATGGGTCTGAATGGAGGATTAGACTGGTCAGGAGCAGTGTGGCTTCCCCACCTCTGACCTGTCTGGAAGGGGCTAACATTCTGAGTAGCTTGGTCCCTCCGAGAGAATGTGGGCCACCAAGTCACTATATGTCAAAAATCCAGTAGTGACTCCTGTTGCAGATTCACGCACAGGTGCCTGAGGACTGAGAACTGGAACTTGACATTGAAAGCCACCGCTCCCTCCACCCCAATAAACCAGCTCTTCATTTTGGAACCACTGACGGATTCCATCACCCCCCAATAAACAAGCTCTTCACAGCACCTGTGAGTTTGTGGACACCTTGGGAGTCCCTAAGTTGGCACTGCCCCTTCTCCCACAAGAAACTTCCATGGCTCTGGCCTATAGAAACAATTTATTGCCAAGGGGCAGTGAGGGCAAGAGAGGCCAGAACTTCGCAGCCAGGACCCACCCCGCCCCCCAACTCCTATTTTACAAAAGAAATTTTTACAGCCACTGGCCCTCTGTCCAGAGCGCACCCCCCCACCCTCGCCTCCCTCGCACTGTACACAGCTGCCTGGCTCCAGAGAGTCCCTGGTTCATAGCAGGGCCAGACCTGCAGCCAGCTGACCTTGGAGCTGACCTGAGCCCTGAGCTCACCTCGGTGCTAGGCACCAGCCAGGCCCTACCAGACCTGTCCTCTCCTTATAGAGCTGTCCTCAGCCCCACCTCCCTTGGTGTGCCTCTTGGGGGCCCCGGTAGGGCTGGGATGTGCTGTCAGCCCCAGTTCTGCTTTGTTGCCTCTGCCTTGGACAGTGTCTGGTCACCACTTCCCCCTCTTGCTCCAGTCCTTGGGAGTGAAGTGCAGACACTTGGAGTCGATCCGAAGGAGCCGCTTGAGCATAGCTCTTTCGTGTCCATCCACGATGTCCTCTGACAGTGTGAGGATATACTGGCCCTGGATGGGAGATGGGGCCAGGGGGAGTCAGCCCACGCAGGGCCCGCACTCTGCAGCCCTACACACACCTGTCTCCCCCTGCCTGCCTCCCTACCTTGTAGTAGTTGATGAGGTTGAGGTACTGTAGAGTGGAAATGACATCCTCCTTCTTGATGCTGGTGATTTCACTGATCTCGCTGTGGGAGGGCAAAGATCAGGTCCTCTGGAAGCCTTCATCTCTGCCCCAAGCCCCCAGGAACCCCAGGAGTGAGGATGGGCCATGCCATGCACCCCCAGGATAGGAGGTAGGGCCAGGCTCACTTGATGGTGATCTGTGGCCTCTCCCCGCTCTCTGACTTCAGCCCCATCAGGATCTCCAGGATGGTCTGGGACCAGTAGCTCCGGTAGGATAGGAGGCCAAGGTCTGAGAGGGGCTTCTCAGGGGTCCCCGTTTTCCCTTCCACTTTGGAGAGTTCATAGCCTACAGCAAGGGAGCAGGAAGGGGTGGGTAAGCGATCACACCTTTGTGCAACCAACGTTTCAGAACATGAGTTAGAGAAGTAAACTGCCTGGTTCTCATCTCGGCCCCGCCATGTGGGAGTCTGTGACCTGGCACATGGGGCTTGTCTGCTGCGTTTGTTTCCCCAAAAAGAACTATGGAGCATTCATTCTTCATCTCTGTGCTGCGGAGGGTTCTGAGGGAGCAGCTATAATCCACCTGGAGGAGTACTCGGGAGCTAGGGGAGTGCAGAGAAGATGACATGAAAGGCAAGCGTCTCTGATTTTCATCCTTCCAGACTCTGCCTGGGTCTGTGAGAGGGAAGGCAGACCCCCACGTGCGGTCTAGGCCTGAGAATGTTTGGATTTGCGGTCGAATCAGCCCCCCCAGCTGTGACCCGAGGAGCATCAGCTGCTCCAGGACCAGGCCGCCCCAACTAGGTGTTGACAGGAAGCAAGAGAGAGGCACCAAGGCACTTCCCAGGGCAGAAGGCGGCCATTCCTCACAGGTAACTGACCTCTACAGAGGTTCTCTCACTCTGCTCTCCTCTACCCTGCTGACTTCTGGCCACTGGCAGACAGTTCCCAGTGAGCCCCTCAGGCCCTGTGAAACCTTATATAGCTTTGTGTCTCTTGGCAGCGTCTTCATTCTCTCCCTCAGGGTCCTGGGGTGTCTCCCATTACCTCTAGAAGCCCTTCTTCACCCTCAGTCATTAACTATCTTGGGTCACGGACCTTTCTGCCCACCCTTCCCCATCTTTACCAGCCAGCCTGGCCCAATCTCCTGCGACTTCCACCAAGCAGCCTGGCTGGGAGCAGGACAGAGAGGCTGCTGCTTTAGAGAAAGGCAGCACGGAAGGGGAAGGGGGCACGGCTGCGTTCTCACTCAGCTTTGCTGGGCCTGCCAGTGCATGTGGAGTCCGGACAGATCAGCCGGAGGCCACACTCGCCTCAGCAGGGAGCTCCCGGCCCCTCCCTGGCAAGGATCTACCTGCCCTCAAGGACTGCCCGCAATGGGCACTTCTTCTGGGGCACCTGTCCACTCCTGCGGGGCAGGACTGAGCACATCACACTGGTGACCTTGCCCATGTCGTGTCTCCACTGAGGTCTGAGCTTCCAGACTTAGATTCATTTTCTTTAAGTATCTGCCCGTTCTACCAAGCTGGGGGCTTCCTAAGGATTCTATTAATAAAGTTCCTCAAATGGACCATGATCTGGATCAAGTCAAGCCTCTATGTCTTCACAGCTCAGGCTCCCTCCTATCTCTCAGGTCAGAGCTTAATTATCCCAAGGGTTCCGTTAAGTGGTGAGTTGAATGGAGTGGGGTAAGCTGCTGGGAAGCAGAAGGGGGCCTTGCAGTTGGGGGACACAGAAGAGTTCATGCACGCAGGGGCAGAGTCGCTCGTGGGCTTCATGAGACGGACCTGCCCGAATCCAAGGAGCAGAGGCTAAAGTCACATGAGTCAGTGCTTCTTGCTTTTGCTGAGTTTACAGCATTCTGAACATCCACTGTGTGCAAGGCTCAGGCCACAACTAGGGAAACAAAGCACTGGTCCTCACTCATGAATTTGTATGATGGCCCAGAACCAGACAGATGAGCAACAGGGGCTCACCTGGCTTCTGCCCAGGGCTCTCGGGGGGAGCATAGGAGTCCGATTGGGAAAAGTTGGGTGGTGCTTAGAACTTTAGCCAAGGAAGAGTGAGGGGCTGAAAACAGCCCAGACGAGCAGGGCGGTCACCCTGAGCAAGGAGAAAACCTTGGGAGAGTCCCAGCTTTCTTTCTGGCCAGCTCACCTGGTGGCAGGGCTGACAATCACAGCAACCCAGAATGCTATGCGGGAGGCGCGATGGCAACACCAGCCCCGGGCCTGGGCCTGCAGGTGCCTGGCCCCAGCCCCCGGCCCCCAGCCCCCGGCCCCCGGCCTAGCGCGCAGATACTCACTGAACTCGATCAGCAGCTTGCCGTAGCCCCGGCGCTGGTAGGGAGGCAGCGTCAGGATGCAGGCCACGTTGTAGTCTTCTGTGGATTCCTTTTCCTGCAAAATGGGAGTGGGTGAGTGAGGAGGGGACACGGCTCAGGGCAGGGCTGAGAGAGGGTCCGGGTGAGTGCTCACCTTGGAAAAGTAGCCCACGATGTGGAAGCCCTTGCAGTCATACTCTGTCATGACGTAGAAGAGGAAGGGGTCTGTATCATAGTACAACGTCTTGTGGTCGAGGAAGCACTTGGCCAAGAGACACAGGTTCTGGGAATAACTCTGCAAAGGAAAAGGCCTGTCACCACTCTGGGTACCCTGTCTTGAACGTGGCCGTTATTGTGGTTTCTTCACCCGAGGCTGATACGGGACGAGCCTTCCTCCCTGGGGCCTGCCTCATTCTCTCAGTCAGGCTGTCCCTGCCGCTCAGGCAGCTACTTCTCGGTGTCAAGGAGCCCGGGTACCAGCTCCGGGATAGTGTCTGCCCAGCTGCCTTGCTGGGGAGCCGGGGCAGCTTTACCCGTTCCCCGCACCTGCAGCTAACTCCTGCTGCAGGGGGCGGGGGGGGGCTTCCACTGCCCTCTGCTGTAGCACCAACCGTCAACACATTGTGGCGTGTCTCCAGGAAGACAGACTCTGTCAAGGTTTAGGAGAGCAGCTCTACCCTGGTGACAGTCTAAGAATGTGCCTGTCAAAAACCACAATGCTCTCCCGCCTACAGTCACACCTACTGGAGACTGATTTCCTGTCCTACAACGGAGATAAGGTATTCTGAAATTGAAAGTAACAGCCTTAGGGGCGCCTGGGTGGCTCAGTTGGTTAAGCATCTGCCTTCGGCTCAGGTCATGATCCTGGGGTCCTGGGATTGGGCCCTGCGTCAGGCTCCTGGCTCAGCAAGGGGCCTGCTTCTCCCTCTCCCTCTGCGTGCTGCTCCCCGTTTGTGCATGCGCGCTCTCTGTCAAATAAATAAAATCTTAAAAGAAGAAGAAGAAAGAGAAAGTAACAGCCACAGGGGTCGCCCCAGCAAATGATTAATCTTGCTGCTCTGCTTTACCTCTATACGTATGTTCTCCTGCACATCAGACATGGCTTTCTAACCAGCCTGCGGGGCACTGCATCTGGATGCCTAAGTCCACACTTAATAACAGGACAGCGGTGGGCGCCTGGGTGGCTCAGTTGGTTAGGCGACTGCCTTCGGCTCAGGTCATGATCCTGGAGTCCCGGGATCGAGTCCCGCATCAGGCTCCCTGC